CTTTTTTGGACACTCAAAGACCCTTTTTTGGATACTCAAAGACACTTCACATGTCGTTATTCACTCATTACAACAATTTATTCTTGTATAGCCCTAAATCACAACAGAAGTCATCTTCGAGGACTTAACAAAACCATTGAAATCACCAACACAGATCAGAGAATCAACAGATAAGACACAAAATATACACATATGAATTGGTCCATAGGGAGAGACCAATGTCCATGAATATTGATAAATGTCCATACATGTTGTAGAATGTTAAAGTGTCCTGGATCATCACCACAGTCCTTCTAGTTGGACACTAACTGTCCAACAGACCCTCCTGCATCGGCAAGGAAAAACTCACAAAAACCCATCATTACACGATGGTGATGGTGAACTACTACTGTAGCCACAGTCAGAGGCGAGGCAACCGGTATGTGCCATCGGCCCCTCTGATTACCACCAACCACTTCACAAACAGATACCAGACTCATTCTAAGCGATGTGGGTGAAGTGTCTTGCCTAAGGATACTGCGGCAGTTTCGGCACTTTACAGCCTCAGTGGCAACCTGTGGCACCTGGTGTTCCCAGAGGTCTCCCATCTTAGTACTAACCAGAACCTGCCATGCACAGCTTCAGAGAGCTTTAGCATGCAAGTATGGCCACAAATTGTCAAAGTTGGGTTAAGTGGCTTGCCCAAAGACACAACGACAGCAAACATCAGTGGGTCTTGTGGTGGGCTCGAACCAACGACCTTCAAGCTCAAACGCCAATGCTCTACTCTAACACATGCTTGTTTATTTTTCTATGACAAACAAAGAAAATGACTACATTGTGTAATGATCTAAGGGTTTAGAACAGTCCGTTTAGCTGGAGGCCATGATTGAAAGAGGATTTTTTTTGTTAAGAAGAAACAATGTTATAATTCAAAAATATATGTTCAAAAACTTAAATATTCACAATGCAGTCTGGACAGAACCTTATTTCAACAAATATCACACAAATAAGAAATTTAGTGATCATCATCTGTTTTTTGCAACATCACAAGGTTGAATTGTATTGGTCCCGCTGTGAGAAATTGTGGTAGAGCCGTATCAACAATAAATAACATTTAACCCTTGTGGTATCCTCCAGTAAAAATGATCCACCACAGATGATTATAAGTAGAAGAAAACACCCTAAATTAGATCTAAATGACCCAGGGCTGGTCAAGCTAGGGAAAGTCATCAAATTAAGCTTGAAAAAAAAAGGGGAGGGGAATTTTATAAAATAATTGTGGTATTTTCTAATCACTGAGGATAGCATCAGGGTTTTTAACGTGGGACACTTACAGTTTCTTTTCAACCCATGGAGAAAGATAATTGTGCAAACATTGTATTATTTAAGAAGATCCTACTTTCAAAAATGGGTTACAAAAACACAAACAGACAGTGTTGGACTTCTTGATCAAGGAGCGACTTTACACAGTGGCCCCCATAGAAGCAACACAAACTTGTTAATCCTGCCATTCAAAACACACAGACCTAATCCGCTCCCACGCATCGCGTTGTCACGGAGAGGGCGAGAACTAGTCTGTGTACTGAAAACGTTTAGACGATCAAGAGATGCTAGCTTTAGATTTATCGTAATCCAAGTACACAGCGGAAAAAGAGAGGCTGCTGGTGCAATGATGAATGTGGCCTTCCACAAGGGCCACACCTGATCCACAGATGTGTGAGACTGTACATGAAAACTGCAATAAAAAGCACCATTACTCCGAGAACATAATGGCATGGAATAACACCAAGTGAAGTAATTAGGAGGTATTGAAAAACAGCTTTGTAGCAGGTTGTAGTATAGTTGTAGTTGTAGTATAATTAATCGTAAACCTCCAGTTTTGATTTTGCCAAAAGTCTGATGTCATAGATAAACTGTCAGTAAAAACACGTTTTTACCTTCTAACACAAAGAAAGACTGTCAAAGCTGAATGCTATCCTGTATGACGTGCCAACAATCACAGATGCAATGATCAGGGAGTACAAACTTTTATAGATACCATTTTGCGAGTATGTGGCAATAAAATTTATGGGAATGAAATGATCTCCATAACTGCTTAAAATGTGGCTTGTCATCTAACGGTTTTTGTTGAAAAATGTATAAGAAACAAGTCTATAGAAAACAGGACTCTTTTTAGTCTATTTACATTTACAAAAAGGAGAATTGAGTACGATTCACTCAACAACAAAAAGTGTTTAACTGGAAAGAGTCACAAAAGTATGCCTACAAGTCTTGATAGTCATTAGTCATGCATTGTTGAGAAAATTATCTACTGTAATCTCATTTAGTTGATCACTGATTCCCTCCCAAGTGACCATAACTGTAATAAAGCCTGCACGGCAAAGCTCATTGTGGTAAAAAGAAGAACCAAAGCCGTTTCGGAGGGTTCATCTTGTCTTCTTAGCAGAAATAAAAGTATTTGGCTCTTCTATACCAGACAATAGTAGATTAGCAATGACTTATTTTGACGCATACTTCTGTCTTCTTCAGGTGCGCTACCATTGTCTGGTATAGAAGATCCAAACACTTTTAAGAACCATAGCATAATTACAACCTACAGAAATATAAGGGACATGAAAACATCCTTTCCAACAGATGTACTATACACAAAACACAGTAGTACCCTAAAACGTGATCAGTTCCCATCCAACTCACAAGGATAAACACATGCAGGACAAACAAATGCAGCCGGCTTAAACTAAACCTCACAAGCAAGTAAATGTTTCAATGTTTTTTAAACAGTAACATCCTCCTCCGTGGCGTTCTCTCATCAGGCCCAATTCCTTGTTTATATCTAGCTAATTCTACATAAATGGTTTTATCATATGGTTTCTGGGGTTCTTGTTTTTCTCACCTCTTTGAACATTCAGGGATTACTTTGGTATTCTAAATGGACACTTCTTGGGAGATAAACAATAGCACTTAATGCACTCTAGGACATCTTTATCAAACTGTGGACTGATTAAAACCCAGACTTTTATGGATACTTCTATATCTTCTATCTATACTTCTACTATATCTTCTATCTATACTATTCTATACTTCTATATCTTCTATCTTTTTCCAGCTTCATAGGAGTCAATATTTTTTTAGTCTTCTGGGTCTTCTTTTGGCTGAGGTATGGTCACATCACACAAGGCTACTGTCAAATAGAAAAGACACTCTATCAACAGCCTCGACCTTGTGTTATTGACAGGACTCCTGTTTGGCTGGTGAGCTCTTAAGCCTAGCGTACATCGACAGAGAAACTGGGGACAACTAGTTGCAAGGCGGCTTTTGGCAACTGAGAGGAGATGGTGGGAGATGATCAGTTGCCGAAATCGGTCGATGTGCGCGCTCTTACAACTGGAGATGATCAGTCGGTCTCCAGTTCCAGTCAGTTGCCCGTGTTCTACTTTTCGGCAACTAGTTGTCCTCAGTTGCTCCGATGTGCGCGCTCCATGCGCCGCTCCGACAACGTGTGTGTATTGCGTGTATTGCGAGCCCGCAACAGTTTGTTGTCAGAAAACACACTGTGGTTGAGGCCAGTTGCTGTCGATGTACGCGCTGTTATTCAAGAGACTGGCCTGCGACTCAGAGTTGCCCGTTTTCGCCAGATTGTCGATGTGTGCGGGGCAGCAACTCAGAGGCGACGGATATAATCAGTTGCCAGTCCGATGTACGCATTAGTCTGGAGGTTCAGATACTTTACCCAATCTATGTTGTGCATTTTTGGCATGTTTTTGTTAATGAGAATACAAGAAGTATTAGTTTTAGCAGACTGATAGTTTATTTAGAGATATTAATTAAGAAAAATGTTATATAGAGGAAGATTAGGATACAATATAATGCAAGTAAGCAGAACATATAATTCCACAAGATTGATTTTTTCTTGCCACTGTCACTGCCTGATTCTCAAACAGTGGAAAGAATACATGTAAAACTATAATTCCTCAGTCTTAAAATGGTTTGGTTCAATACCAGCCTTTTCAGACGGATCAACATTAACAATAGATAACCAATCATCTCAACGTTACTCACAGGGCAATATAAAATGTTAGTTCCTCCAGCCCAAAATATTGTGTGATGGCCACTGAAAATATGACACAATTACTTGAATGAGAATGAGAACGACATGATATATTACACAGGGAAATGCATCATGTTGGAGGTTTATTGTGCTAAATGGCCATTGTAGATAAGACCATGTGACTTGCTGCCCACTTGCGATTTCTCACCATCTTTGTTTGTGTGTGTTAGAAGATTGCTTTTCGTCAATGATTACAAGCCACTCTTCAAATCTTGTGCACAGTCGAGGGCCTCATATGTTACTCAGAAAATATTTCCACAATGAACAAGGATTGACAAGGTCTAAGAAAAGCAGAACAGGAAAAGAGAAAATGAAAAGCATACATCCTGGGAATAACACATTTCGTACAGCGCATATTCATCCATACAGATTTGAGAAGGAAATTACAGATAAATTAGATTTTAAAGAAGGTGTGTGTTTTCAGTGTTATGGAAGAAGAAGAGAGTCGAACAGGGCTGAATGCGGCTAGTTCAGAGCCAGGATGATACGGTGTGAATAAAAACGAATAATTTGTGAGCAGAGATTGGAAAGAGGTGAAAACTGTTTTTGATCTCACAAAAGCAGAACAAAACAGATCACCTCCTAGTCAAATACAACTTTAAGTTAATGATGCGGGAGATAAATGCTAAACCAATGTAACCACCAGTCCATGCTATTGTATGGCAGCTGAGCAATAAATAAAATAAACATTGCAAACCAATGGATTCATAATTTTGATTAAAAGTATCAAAATGGACTAACATTGATCATTTGACAGCAGTTTAAATACTTTATGCCTTAAATACAATCTACTTTAATGAAAAATACATCTTTTGAATGAGGAAAAGGTCCTCAAAATGGTAAATGCAACAGGAAGCTGAAATCCATGAATAGCACCAGGCCTCTCTGCAGACATGATCTGTGAAGGACCATGATAACAGCAACAAAACCTCATCTGCTGCAGTCAGAGCCACAAACGGACCATTCATTCCCTTCTCCATCTCCAGACGACACGGGACGACTACCTGCACCCAAGAGGGGTTTGGGCGGAGGTGATAGCGGCCAGTTTGGACACAGAGCAGAGAGCAAAATCAAAGAAGACTGCACTGAGACAGATAAGACGGATGACGAAGAGGCAGACGGAAAATTGGTTCTTCTGATATCAAGATTTAAATGATGCAAGTCAATGTCTGGAGATAGCAGCTCAACATGAATCATCATCAAATGGTGGATTGATGTAAGAAGATGAAGTATAAGGAATACCAATAGTGTGGGAGAAAATTAGAGAAAATCTGTACAGTATACACAGTTAGTCTAGAAAGTCATGATTATTACGCTGCACTTCAAGAACCGAGTTCAAGCAGATCCTGGTGAGTGTGGGGAGGGAGTGGAGAGCGGCCTGAGGGCAGCTGCGGCTACACTAGCACAATGTGTGGATTTGAACATAATTGTAAAGGGACTTTGTAAATTATGCTGTACAAAAATAAAGATTATCTAATGAATGTATTATGACGAAAAAATCGGTGAATAATAACTATGAATACAATGACAACCGCACTGGCATTCATCGTAATACTGGCATTAACCAAACACAAACAGCCATGAACATTATTAGTTTGTGAATCCTGCTCACAATTCACACAAAAAATGTCTTTGTCATAACCAACAGCAACAACTAAGGGAACACTACAACAATCATAATATCTCTTATAAAAAGCCCCATCTCTGACAGCCACTTGAACCCTGTTGGTTCTGTGGCTCTGAAAACCAGCCAAACCACCGCTAAGAAAGGGTTCACAGTCTGCTCCAGTTGAATGAAACCTCCAGCTTCAAATCAGTTACTACAATTTACACACTATAACTATTTCATGAGGACATTCAGTATGTGGTGCAGAGTTTGATGCAAAAACCAATGTCCACAATTGTTTATGATCATCACAAATAACAACTTTCCAAATGCCAACAATAGTCTATCCGAGCCACAAAAACTCACTCGCATTTAGTAACCTTCCAGTGAGACTGGAAGGTTACATACACTGTATTTTTGTCGTAGTTTCTTTTACAAAATTGCAACCATGAGAATGATTGTATTGTAATAATATTTAACACACTATTATCAAGAGATATATACAACGTCAAACATTTATTTTGCACCAACTTCTTCCTGAAATGCCCTTTGACTTTACACTGGTGATAACTTTGGATAATGGATATATTTGATTATTATAGCTTGGTAAGTTAAATATATATTATCAAATAGTATCTACAGTAGTTCCTTTCCCAACTCTGCGGCTTGTTTGCTTTATGTTTCCCAGATATAAAAGGCTTTAATCACAGTCTCCTTGTGGAATGGTTTATTTAAGTTTTATTTGAACACATGCTAAGAGAAATAATTGTAACTGTAAAGCCTGGATCAAAATTAAACCACTTCTAAGATCAAAAAGCCACTGACAAACCAGGAAACCTAAATGCGGTGTTTGTGTGCCAAAGCTTTCTCATATGGGGCCAAACTCAATCTCTCTAACTAAAATATAGTTAGAGAGATTATAGACCTCCAGGCAACAATGCGATGCAATTCCCAATCCACCAAACCTTCAAGGCTCTCACACAATCACTATGGATACAGTGGGGCAAAAAAGTATTTAGTCAGCCACCGATTGTGCAAGTTCTCCCACTTAAAATAATGACAGAGGTCTGTAATTTTCATCATAGGTACACTTCAACTGTGAGAGACAGAATGTGAAAAAAAAATCCAGGAATTCACATTGTAGGATTTTTAAAGAATTTATTTGTAAATTATAGTGGAAAATAGGTATTTGGTCACTTCAAACAAGGAAGATCTCTGGCTCTCACAGACCTGTAACTTCTTCTTTAAGAAGCTCTTCTGTCCTCCACTCGTTACCTGTATTAATGGCAACTGTTTGAACTTGTTATCTGTATAAAAGATAGCCCAAATGTAGCCCAAAACGGTATTTCAACCACTGATAATCTCCCTCGATCTGGGGCTCCACGCAAGATCTCATCCTGTGGGGTCAAAATGATCATGAGAACGGTGATCAAAAATCCCAGAACCACACGGGGGGACCTGGTGAATGACCTGCAGAGAGCTGGGACCAAAGAAACAAAGGTTACCATCAGTAACACACTACGACGACAGGAAATCACATCCTGCAGTGCCAGACGTGTCCCCCTGCTGAAGCCAGTGCATGTCCAGGCCCGTCTGAAGTTTGCCAGAGAGCACATGGATGATACAGCAGAGGATTGGGAGAATGTCATGTGGTCAGATGAAACCAAAGTAAAACTGTTTGGTATAAACTCAACTCGTCGTGTTCGGAGGAAGAAGAATACTGAGTTGCATCCCAAGAACACCATACCTACTGTGAAGCATGGGGGTGGAAACGTCATGCTTTGGGGCTGTTTTTCTGCTAAGGGGACAGGACGACTGATCCGTGTTAAGGAAAGAATGAATGGGGCCATGTATTGTGAGATTTTGAGCCAAAACCTCCTTCCATTGAGTTAAATTTCTGTTATTGAACAAATACTTATTTTCCAACATAATTTACAAATACATTCTTTAAAAATCCTAAAAGGTGAATTCCTGGATTTTTTTTTCACATTCTGTCTCTCACAGTTGAAGTGTACCTATGATGAAAATTACAGACCTCTGTCATAATTTTAAGTGGGAGAACTTGCACAATCGGTGGCTGACTAAATACTTTTTTGCCCCACTGTATATTACGTAAATGCCAACATTTTGTTTTAGCACGTTTAAAATCCATTGATAACTTTACAGTATAGAATGTGCTAATGACTTCCATTAATGACTCAAAATGGAAATGTTTCGTTGGATACATTCTTCCACGATATTGATTGGAATGTATATATTAGTACACATTAAAGGACCAAAGAATATAGTAGGAGTGGACTACATGAGTGAAAGAAGAAACTAGCTAGAGCCAATTTCTTTACATGGTATTTGTTCCGCCGACATTTTAGATCTGCACTGTAGGGGCAGACATGTGGCTAAGATGATTTCTAAGGCAAATTAAAGTTTACCCGTCAATTAAGGCATATGATTGTTTCTTTTGCCTCAGAAATGATGATGGATTTGCAATTCCTAATATTGATATGTTAATTAATCTGGCTGGTACTATTAAAAAGATTGGGAGTCCACGGAAGTGAACACCCTATGAAATGTGTGAGCTATGAGCATGAAAATGTTAAAGCTTATTCTTTCAGTAAAAACCACATCATTTATTTTGCTCTAAAGATTAAACACATAACACAGGAAAACATGACTACTCAGGGCGGAACAAGACAAAAAATTGTTAAAGAAATATATATAGAGGAAGGAGAGTGATGCCCTCAGCGGGAAGCAAAGGGAAGAGGGTGAAGGGTCAGAGAGTGTTTGTAGTGTGTTGTGTGTGCGTTGTCTTGTTTGTCTTGTCTCTGTGGTCATGTCATGTATCAGTTCACTCTATGTACTGTGCAAGTTTACAGCTGTTTATGAATAATCCTGTATGTATACGGTTCTTGTACTGTACTTTTTGTTGAATCTGTGAGGGGCTTTGGAATTCATCCACCTCCTTTTCAAACCATGCCCTTGTATATCTGTCTGTTATGTTGATTTTTGCAATGATGATGATTGTTTTGAAATAAATATTATCTATCCATCTATCTACATCACAGATAGATTATTTATTGTTTATTAATCCAGATGCTAATTTGAGGCTAAAGTAAAAAAAAAAAAAAACATGTGCAATTATAGGGGTTTAGTAAAAGAAAAAAAAAAGTATAATAAATGAGTTTGCTCCACTTTTGCTCTTGAGCAAATGCTTGATAAATGAGAACCTAAATAATAAAAATGTTTTCCATGTGACCCATCCCTTGCTCAAAGTCTGAATTAGACCTTTAACTTGAATAGTTTACCCCTCTATAAAAGCCTTGTGTAACACTCTTCCTTCTGACACCCCACCTTGAGAACTGGTCTCAAGCAAACTCTGGCTTCGACTCTACGGGCCTGTGTCTGGTCCATGCGGAGGTCAAAGGATTGGGCGGAGTTGTAAGATAAGGCTATCTCAGAGCATGTCCATCTCACTTCAGAAGACACTAATAGACAAAATAGAAAGTGACCAGACATAGAGGGCTGAGAGTCTGCTTTGGTGTCCCATATCAGCGCCCATCTTGGTTTTGGCTCAGACCACAGTCGTCTATAGGGACCCAGCGATAACAAAGAACATTACCTCCTCAAGATTTATGCCGGAGCAAAGTCACTGGCGGTGCAATATATGGACACGCAATAAACAAAGCTAACTTATGGAAGACAAAAGAAAAAAGGGGGAACAAGGATTTGTGAGTGGGAGGAGGAGGTGGTGTAGGGGAGGCAGGGGGCGGCCCCATTGGCTGAGACCTTGATTAACACCAGGCGTCCCAACAGGAAATGACCCGGCCAGTTAAGAGCGCCGGGAGAGCTTCCATCTGGTGCCGAGGCCGTGGAGGAATTCTTTTCCACGAGGAGTTTGGACGCAACCAGCGGAGAGTGAATCAGAGTTACATTATTCCCGGTACATGACCAACTATGATACATGTCTCCGTCATTGTGCAAGAATTTGTGACCTGCTGTATCACTACATAACTGGGAGTAAAATTTAGATTTATGTCTAATTTTGGTATATATTCATTTGGCTCATACCCATGCTGTGGCTTGCATAACCAATCAGAGGGTGGCATAATGCTGAAAGCAGAGAGGAGTGCCTGAATCTGAGCCGAGGTTTAAATTGATATCTTATTGGCCAAGATGAAAAAATAAAATAAAATTAAGACCAGTATTTATAACAAGATTAAATTCTTATACCTTTATTGACCTTTATATAACCAGGACAGTCCCAATGAGAAAATGCAGAATTTTCAAGGGAGTCCTGGCCCCAGAGAGAAAGGAGGTAATATATACGTTTTTAGTGGTCGAGGAAACCTATGTAGACGCGGGAAGAACATGCAATCTTTACTCAGAAAGGCCCTGTCTGAAGGTGAAATTGAAGTGCTAACTACTCAGTCACATATCTTTATTTGCATATGCTGTTTAACCTGGAGGAAGTTTCACACTGAGAGAAGGGAGAGAGAGGGGGCCGCTAGGGGAGGAACTTTTGGACAACTCATCTTTCACTGCTGACTGGAATCCTAAACGTAAACAAGCCTTTCCACATTCACAGATAAAACAAAGATCAACTTAAGAATGAGGGGTAATACTATATAGATATCATTATTCAGAACATGGTATGTCTGATTATTAAAGATTACTTTTTGTTTATTATTTAAGATGAAGAATTCCTCAAATGTCCTGGTGGTGACCCGTTATTTGTGAAGTGGTCTGTCAACCGCTACTTTTGATGGAAATGTTATTGCAATTCAAATGCTTATACAAGTTTTATTTTATTTTTTTATAGTGGACAAAAGGCTCTATGTGTTTTTTTTATCATTGCATTTCTCGAGTTTGAACTGTTGGTGAATTCAATGGTTTTATAAAGTCCTCCCAGATCACTGCTGTTAGCGCTACACAAGAATGAATTCAATTGAATAGTGAAAAAACTCTCCTCTCCAATAGAACTTAGCAGAGTGAAGTTACATGCTTGTTTTTAATGGAAAAGAAAAAAAATTTGAAACTGCATACAGATCCAGGCAAAAAAACAAAAACATGTAGATGAGCCCAAGCAGGAAGCGGGCCATCAGGACACTTGAGGAGTGGATATTTAAACTAAACAGTCACATACACAGCTCATTTACCTCACATGTTTTACACGTATTATGCCACAAAGGACCCAACAACACTCAACTTTATATTGGTGAATACTTTAACTTACCCCCACTATGCATGTTCTGTCATAAAAACAAGAACTTTTCTGTATTTTGTTCCTTCAGATTTCCTCCACAAAACCAACTCTTTGTTTATGGTTAGCGGCCTCAGTCAGGATAAGCTGCTCTTGTCTGTACACATTATGTAAACTTTATTCTAGCCTGGACGTCTTCAAAGCTAAAACACAGATAAAAACAGATAGACGTTTTCCCTGAGGAGTCACAGACAGTGTCCCATTGAGGGGTGTGTGCACTGGACTCTTGGACAGACCCTCACTGCAGCGTGTGCAGGGGCCATGGGGCCACTATCCCTGGCCGGTCCCCTCTGATTTGGGCTGGATGTCTGTTTTTAAGTCCAAGTTTGAGAGTCCTTGCGGGAGAGTGCCAGTGTCCTTTTCCAGTGTACAAGTTTACCTCCCAGTGTAATTACAAGTGCCTATGGGCCTTTTATGGTCTGCATTTCCTGTCATAAATAAGCCAAGGAAAACTTTAAGGAGCGGCAACACACTTCTACAAAGCCAACAGAGGTGTCAACTGCACTGAAGCAGCAGCACACCGTAGAACAACAACACTACAGCTAATAGGCCGGCAGTAGGATTACATGTTAGAAATGCATTTGACAACATTACACATTTGTCAAACTATGCAACTCACAACAGCAGTCGTCTCGGAGCAGAGACTGTTTTAGTCTCACCACAGAGAAATCCAAGAATAGAAATACAATAAGATAAATGCAATAACAACACATACATAAGAGCCAATGGGAAGACCAATGTTAATAATTGTCCATACATTTTGAGGACCTCCTTGCAAACTAGATGTTTCATCTCTTAGGGTGTATCTACCAAATAAATAAATAAAATCCAAAAATAAATGCCCCTTAAAAGAGAATGCATCAATGTGTATTGCCATTGGCAGCTTTGGATAGACATATTTACAGAATATAAATTTATATCTAATTTACATACTGTAAATATTGAGTGTAGCATGTTTGTTTTCTGAGTCCAGCCTCTTTCCGAGCTCAGCTGAGCAGCGTGCGACTGTGGGCCATTAGCCAAATCAGCTGGAGATAAAGGAGGAGGCTGCAGTCGCTCTGTCGCCACAGGCTCTTCTATGAGGGACCAGTAATTACTGATACTGTCTCATCTCACTTACTGTATCTGTTTACCATGTTGGACGTCAACTTTTATCTTTGCTGTGTAACCATATGCAGAATTATTGAATTGGATGAACTGTTTAGTATTCAAATAAAAGAACAAAGAGCATTAGCAAAGTCCTTGCATCCTATTCCTGCTTTGAATTGTCAGATGTTTTTATATCTGAATGCAGCATATTACTCTGAAAGGTGGTGCTCAACTCATAGTCTAATCTTTGAAAATTCTATAATGATCACTATACTGATGTGCAGCACTATGGGTAAATACAACCAAATATATATAATACCTGTACAGTGAATTAATATAATATTGAAATAGTGTAAAAGCCACACACACAAATCTCAAATGTTTTCATGGAGGAAGCCAAAACATGCTCTTGTGTTTTGACTTGTGCTGTTATTCCCAGGCGCATGTGTGATGAGGTCTTTATTGGTGGAGAGGCTCTGGCGGAGAAGCTTCAGTGAAGCGCGGCAGGACAGTAGCTCGTGGCCTCCCTCTGAGGCCCTGTGTGTGGTCGCTCGGGTCTGCCCTGCAGTGGCCCGTACCAGGACTGAGAATCTGATGAGACACACTTGATTTAACCTCAAGCTTTATGTCAAGAGCCCAACCAACTCAAAATGACAGCAAGATAATAAAAGGCACTTACACTAATATGGATTTATAAGGTCATGGTCAAGGTTCACTTTAATGTCCCCATAGGAAACTCTATCCTCTGAATTTGACCCATCCTTCCAATACCACTATGAGCACTCAGCAGCTGTTATTCCTTGTTTGATTATTTATTAATCTACAACTTTGTATCAGTGTTGATAGCGTAATATTTGATATATAGATTTGAAATGTTATAAAAACCCATGACCATTATTGCACAGTTTGAAAGCCACTGCTAGAATTGTGCTCTCAGCCACAAACACGCCCAAATAGCCAAGAAGTGGAAAAGGAAGTGAAGAAAAGTCTGCAATTAAAAATAATTAGGACTAATTTCATAAGTGCAGTCTACCCAGGGAAATTTATTTAATCAGGCGCGATCATTAGAACAACTTACAGTCCGCTTCCTCTCACCACCAGCAGCAGTGCACTGGCTGGTGATTCAGGGCCAGAGGCGAGAGATGGAGACATGGAAAAGAAAGTCAAGAAAAACAAAGAAAAGAAACAGTTTCAGTCTGTAAGTTGTGGCTTGAGCTATAGTCTGTGTGCACACCCTTTCATGTCCCGGGACAAGTCTGCACTGCCGTTCCAACTCAAACAGAGGTACAGTGGAGGTCTGACTCTGAGGGCGCGCTTCTCTTACTGTGGCCTGAGCACACCCCAGTGACAGGACTAAAAACAAACTCAAAGGGAACCAGAACAAGGCAAAAACCGCTGTGTTTCCACATAAAGTAAGGGCTCTAGTGACCTGCTTCTTCTGACACTGCTCGTGGTGAGTCAGCGACCATCATGAAGACTAATTAAACCAAAAGCAAAATGAATGTACTAATTATTTTACAATTGTTGTAACCCACCCAACCCACTTTCTAGAGAATTTTACCTATGGTGCACGTTTTGGGTGATAGGGAAAAGCCAGAGCCAAGCGGAAACCCATAGACACAGGGACAAACATGCCGGTCTGGCTCAGCAATTGAACCCGCATCCTTTGTGCCACACCAGCACTGCCTAACAGTCAACGTCAGCACAGTCCTCTGAACCACGACTAGCACTAAGGAAGATGCAGCATTGTAAGTGCTAATTAAGTATACTAATGAACTACTGTATATAGCAAAAAGTCAAATTATAGTATCAAAATCACATCACATACAGTAACATCCCAGAAGGGGACATATGGAAAATGTACTCACATTACCTTTAAGTTAAACAGATATATGTAAAGTGAAAATGATGAAGGGTTTTTAACAATTGTATGTTTTATATGGAATCTCAAAATGACCAATGAACATTTCCAGTTTCCCTGGGAACACTGCAATAATTTGTGATGATATGGGGGATATTCTGTCTTTCTGGAGGGTTCTTTCTCAAAACTGATGCTGGTGCGTGGGAAAAATTGAACATTTAACTTGAAAAATAACAAAAAGGCGAGATGGCAATGTGCCGGCTTGATTTTTTTTAGTCAAACAGCATCCACCAGGACAGACAGGAAACCAAATCCATCGTTTTTACCAGAACCACAACTGAACCAGAGATTAACAGTCAACTGGTGGCAGCACACATCAAACGCGCCACCCATGTACAGCACAGCGCTAGGCAGTAACCAATCAGCAGCAAGGTTCCAGGGAAGCACAGACCTCTTCCTCCAATCCCGTCGTCTGTTCCGTTTCCAAGACAATAACAAGCGTCGTAATGACACTTTCCACATGTGGAGACGGCTGGTGGTTTTGGTTTGAAAGACCATTTCCTAGAGACTGAAAAAAGTTCTGGAATAGAGGAATAATACTGACCTTTTATAACCACATACACAATGAGGGATCGTTTGTTTTCTGATGTCATATGCTAACTGTAGAGACATAGAAAGAGAAGTAAATAAGGATTTAAATGTTAGCTCTATAGCATGCATGATTGTTTTAAAGTCATTGTCAAATCGAAGTCATGACAGGATCTCCAGAGATTAAGCTAAAATAAGATAGTTGGCCCCTCATGTAATTTCACACTCTACAAGGAAGTAATATTAGTAGAAATATGCCACAGTTGTACTCATAGCAATAAGAATACAAACTGTTTTGTCATGTTATGATTTTTACGACTCCATAGTTAAAGATCAATTCGAAGCAATTCAATGTTTTTTTTGTATTGCCCTAAATCACAGCCGCAGTTATCTTGGAGGACAAAAATGGACAATTCACCAACAACAGATTGGATAAAAGTTCAAACACATTTCAGTTCCAATAATAACAACCACATAGTAGCCATTGGTCCACAGGGGGGAGGATGACCAATGTCCATAAACGTTAAAAGGAGCTATACCTGTTTCTGCAGGTTTGTTGTGTTTAGCACTGCCCCTCAACTCGCTCACAGGCTTCTCATTTCCACTATGCTCTCATTCCACGGAGCCGTCTAGTTTTATTTGCGATCTATATGCAAACATTAGCATGAGCGCAACTTCTTGTAAGCTGTACAACAATCACTGATGAAATGGTACAAAAGCAACGCACTGCTAACAAAATATATAGCTGAAAGATTATTGCTAGTTCCCCGTCCGAATGTGGTCCGAGCATAGATAGTCCCTGGCGGTCCCGCAGGTCTCTCCCATAGACAAGTCTCTCTAGCTATGTTCACCCGGGCTCGATTTCTTTTTTGATAATTCTTCTTCTTCTTCTTGTCCTCACTGTTGTGTCGTTTGGGCTGTTTCGCTATGTATGCAGTCACAGCAAGAAGAGTTATAGCCAATTCTGCTAACACGCTACTGGGGTTACCGGCGCTGTAGAGGCTAGAGGACGCAGCCTCGTTCTGTGATTGGAGGAGAACGGGCATCACGCTCTACTCAGTACTTTTATACGGCCTGAATTCATGCACAAGCTGAATCAATGATAAGATAAGAATTCCTTTATTCGTCCCACAGTGGGGAAATTTCGATGTTGCATCGCACATATAGGACAGTAGTAAGAGCACACAGGGATCACACACAATATATACACTATATACAAATAAGTAGTAGCTATGTTTCTTAGCTAACATAACTAGCTGAGCTCAAGTTTTCAATTAAATTACAGATTATAATACAACTTGTATGTAGTAGTAAACATTTTTATGAACTCATAAAAAAAAAAAAAAAAACATATCGGGTATAGCATCTTTAATAAATGTCCAAGATAATTTCTTTAGAATGAATGAATGAATGAATGACAGTAAATATGAATGAAGAGCTGTTTCTAAGCTCACCTGATGACAATGCTCCTAATAAAAAGAGAATTCACTTCACTAAGCTTCTGTATGACTCCATGACTTGAGGCAGCAATAATTAGAGTGACATTTTATCCAAAGAGAATGCCCAGTATGACAACAATCTTTTTTTTTGTGTGCTAATATTTGTGGCTCAGGCCTGCGGCTCTGCAATCAAAACAAGCTTAGACTGAAGCAGGAAGCACGGTAGGTTAAGAGCGTTTCTGTAGTAGCGCAGTTGTCCCGAAGACACTCTTTAATTAACGTCCCATGAGGAGGTAGCTTGGGAGTTCGAGGCGCAGCATTTTCACCCCTTCTGCTTTAGCTTGTTTCTCTAACCTTGCATCCTTGTGTTTTTTTCCTCTTGTATATAAGTGAAAGCTCCCCATTGCTTTCTGCAGCCAAGGGGAACTGAACAGAAGAATTTGTTGCGTTCTCAAGGCGGCCAGGTTTCATTGGATGTCTGGTTTGCATTTATTTAATTGGCGGAGAATGTCACAATCAATGTTTTGCTTTGGATGCTGCTGCCGCCTCGTATTACCCCGGGTGCTTCGCTGGCTGCCATAAAACTCTTGCACACACACACGCAATTTGGGAAGGCTTTAAAAATAGTGCAGTGAATTCTGACTGTAAAAAGCAGAATAATCTTATCTTATTGTGGTGCAGATTTCTTTCTAATTTATTTATAATGACTTGAAACCTAAAGAAATGGCAGCGGTTTGAATCCTTGTCATAGAACAAATATATATACAGTATGTATTGTGCAAGATTTTCCAACTATTCCACCTATTCCAACTTCGATTCAAACTAGCTAAAGCTCTCAAGTGTTTATTCTACAGAACTCCATAAGTCTTCTTAAAAGTGATAAGATTGTGTTGAGAAAATTAACAACAGACATTGAGAGCTGACTCTTCATATACCTGACCTGCTCTTGCTTGTATCCAAATGTTATTTATTTGATTTTAGTCTTCACATAAAACAAATCTTCAAATGTTCAGTGGATTTAACTTTAATCGGTTTCATGCAAGGGACCAACCACCCTGGAAAAAGTACAGGGACTAGAACAGGGCTAGCAGCACATAGTTTCTGTTCTACCAAAGTTGAGAAAGCAATCTCTTTAACGTTTTGCACAACTTTAAAGGGACAGCATGTACAATTTGAGTCCATATTATCATAATAGTAACATAGATTTATTATATTACTTGGGCTATACTTGTGTTGTGTGCTCCTCTTTCCTACTGTTCTGTAACTTGTGATGCAACACTGACATTTCCCCACTGAGGATCTCGTAATCTTAATCAAATACAATGCTTATGATGGCCAGACTATTTACACACACATATAATCACAGTCATGGCTCTACAGCTGAGAATCCAATCACAACGATCTCCTTTGTGTTGCCGCCCCAGCAGGTGAACCACATCAGTGATGAGCTTTGTAAGTAAGTACAGTAAGTAAACTTTATTTAAACCGCCTTTGTGACCAGAGTCACAAAGCGGTTTACAATTGTTATTATTTTTGGGCATTTGTCTCTCACTCCACACAGAGATGGGAGCGGGGTCGCCAGTACAGGAGGCGCATGCCAGACCTATTGTACATGTTTTTAGTGGTAGGGGAAACCGGAGTACCCGGAGAAAACCTAAGCAGACACGGGGAGAACATGCAAACTCTACTCAGAAAGGCCCTGTTCCAACCAGGATTCGAAC